ACTCCACGCGTCCCGCCGAACTCATGGCGCGGAACATTGCGCGCGACGTGGCGCGCTTCTGAGTGGGCGCGCCTCTGATCCCGAGGCGGGGCTCCAATCGCGGCGCGCCTCTGACAATTAGACGGCTCGTTTCCTGACAGATCCCTCAGTTGGCTGATCGTGATCACTTTATCTGCCGAGCGGAGGGACGGTGGGACGTCGGGTCCGTGCGGTTATCCGTGAACAATACGCGTACATTCATATACATACGCGCAAGGTGCACTGCATGGGAGCACCCATATACATAAATAAGTTTAGGACTTTTTATCGATGAATCTGCTCATGTCTCTATGTAACTTCCCTCAGAGGCGACTAGTGATTTATATCGGTCGCCTGATAGATCCAAGCATTATCTTCACCCACCAGCTAAATATTATTGCGTGCAGTTATCAAGTGGTCTCTTATGAAGAATGTTTTCATTTCGAGGCGGTTTTGTTTTCACACACAAAATGGCCGGCGAGGGACATGAGCCTGCACTCAGGCCCTGAGTGAACTGTGCGATCACTGGAGGGCAGGGGTCTGAAGATAAGCGGTTCGGAGTGGTGCTGTCGCTGACACTGCCTGTTTGGGAGACGGCTGCCTCTCTGGGAGATAAATACGGAGACAAAAGAGGCCGAGACAGAAGAGTGGTGGCAGAAACCGGACCCCAGCGCAGAGAAAATATGTGGTCCGTTTTGCAGTCAATTCCTACGTTCTGTCCTCGTGCTCCTTTTCTGAACCAACTGCTCGTCTCATGTCAAAATAAAAAAGACTTATTTGTCGCAGTTATAAGCCGCACTTTATTTACCTAACCAGTAAGCACCTATTTCTTCTTTCAAATATTTTTCTGCTGTAGCGCTTTTTTTTACAGGAATTGCACACAGCATCAGTGCTTTATCGAAGTGTGGCTATTTGCTCCGGACGGTGCCTTCATAAAATGCGCCGCGCCGCGCCGCCAATTTTATCAACCGGTTGTTTTCTCTCCCCGACACACTGCACCCGTCTCCGTACTATTCACCGGGTGCTGTTTTCGATGTCAGCGGACACACTGTGCGCTCAGGACTCTGCCGATTTCCCAGCTGTTTACCGACAAACGCTGAGAAACAGCTAGGCCAAGGGCCATTGGTCCCCGAGCTACGAGACAGACCGCTGGTCGGCCTAAAACAGAGTGGCGACGAGCGGCGCCGACCCCAGAGCGGATGGTGCTTTGTTTCTCGGGCCAATTACAGTCCCTGAAGAGCGAGAGCCTGGCTTGAATGGCATCGATCACTCTTCACAAGTTGTTTGGACAAAATATATGACCGTCCCTCATTGGTATGTAAACTACAGTGTGCAGCTAACAGGTCGAAACTGCGGCTAGGTGGAGAGTCCAATTGTGAACTGTCTGAAATAAGGGCGGGAATGTTCATGAGGATAGCCATTAGACCAAGCGTGCCAACTATCTGTGTTACTTCACTATGGCATTAACATGAATGTTATTAGGTACTGAACGCTAGCCGAATACCTACCAAAGATTGTGAACGACGAGAGAAATAGCTTACAGACTTTCGGAAGTACGGCAGCTGCCGTGCAGGTTCATGAGAACGTGTGTGTTCGAGACGTCCTTGCCCGAGGCCTATGGGTCGTGCCTGCAGGACTAGCAGGTGCCCCACTAGCTGTAATGAGCCGTATTGTGAGTATAAGTTCCTCAGCGTTCGCCGTTGCTGTAGAAAACCTATCCGCGTCCCGGTCCATCCATCAAGTGGTATAAGATATCGAGCGATGAGGTGCCGACCTGGGGCAGCAGGGGGTATTGACCTGATGAGAGCAATATGTGCCACTTCAGTCGGCAGATGGACCTGTGGGGACACAGAGCGCGCTGTGTGCTCCTGTTCGTGGGTGTAGCGAGTGTGCTTGAAGAAATGTGAGCTTCTGTGCAAGTGCAGTCAATTCTAACGCGGTCATTGGTTGGGCACTAAAATTGGCATTTACACAACTTTTGTCGTTAGTCCTCGTCAGTGACTGAGTCATTGAATGGTCGATTTGATAGCATGACCTGCATTGAATGGACAGTGCAAAGAAGAAGAAGTAAGCTTTCCGGCTGTTCTGCTTCAAAAGTCGCCTCAACATCAGTGTGCCGTTGGCGTCGTTCAGAAGTTTTTGAAGCGACTTAGTTGGCGTTCAGTTGCCCTCTCCGCAGACTCAATGTTTGAACAAACCCAATCCCATCGCCGTCGGGCCACTCGAGGTGAGTACAAACGACCTTCTAACCGGAGCTGCCCGATTTCTGGGCCCGCCGAACGGACCTTTGAGCGGGCTTCATTGGTTCCCCGTCTCATATGAACCGGCCACCCAGCCAATTGTCTGCAGTTCCATTTGTGTGGTTGTTTGAGCAGCGCTAGACGAGGCTGTGGATTGTGGACAGACTGGGCCGAAAGTCTGTGCTGTGTATGGACTGTCTCTGTGCTTTATGTGGACTGTGGATAGACCGTGAGCTGTCACCTGCGGTCTGATAGCTATCTATGGGCTCTAGACAGACTGTAAACAGTCTGGACCAAAAATCTGCTGTAGATCGACTGCCTGAGCTATCTGTGGACTGTGGATTACCTGTGAAGTCTTCATGGGATATATGTGGACTGTGGACAAATTACATAGACAGACTAGACCGAAAGTCTGTGCTACGGATTAACTGTATCTGGTCTGTGGTCTATCATGTGGGCTCTGAACCGGCTGTGGACTCTCTACGGCCTATCTGTGGACGGTGATCCTTCTATGAACTGTGCGTGCCTGCGTCGCCGTAGGCAGGGACCTCAGCAACCGTCTTGGGCGGCGGAGGAGCGTTGAACGTCTCCCGTCTTCACCGGTAAACAAGCCACTAACACAGGATGCGTGATCTGGGCTAGGATGCCCGGCTCTCAGGCTCGACCCGTGCTCCGATTTATCTGCCTGTCCTGAGGCGAAAAAAGAAAACATGTTTTGAGGTGGGCTGAAACGAGAGGATGATCTCGAGTGTGTCTAGGAGGAGAAACGGCTCCTCTGGCTTCTCAAGAGCCTCTCAGATGCAACGATTTAGCTGAAATCGTGCTCATCTAGCGTGTCGATGGATCATATGAATGCTATCAGTAAGCTTGCTGGATTCCTGCAAAAAGAGGCACATATGTAAACATTTCAAGAAGTACTGCCTGATATTTGGAAACTCAAATTTAGCAGCGATAAATATGATATAAGGATAATGTGCGCTTCATGTAAATATGTACATATGTACGGACTCATCTCCCTTCCCGTATCTCTAATGCCTTTATTTCACGTGCATCTCCTGAAGCTCCCCGTCTCCTCCATTCATTCACATGTCTCCCGTGTCCTCTGTGAATACTGTCTCACATGACCGGCCCTACCGGCCAGTGACGGGAGTGAACTACTCTACTAGCTCGCCGGCCGTGACACCATCCGTCTGTCTGCGGTGGTCAGAGCTCGGTCTGTGGACTCCTCAGTGGACGCTGGTGTACTCTCTGTGGACGACGTGAACCGTCACGGTGGTCATATGTTTCTCTGTCGGACGCGGCGATCACCCGTGGATTGTGTGAATGAGGGAATAAATGAGCCGGTGGTCTGGCGTGGTGTTCTCCATTGAAACCGAGTTTCACTGCAGATGATTCGGCTCTGCAAGCTAAATATTAACCCCGAACTCATTATTGTTTCATTGATTTTATCTGGAGTTTATCACAAGAATACGGTAGTAACTTCAATCCGGCTAATTTTACTAGTGACTTTTTACCTTGCGTTCAATTGTCCTCGAAATTATTCGAGTGACATATTTATGTTACACTAGCTTGTTGGTAAAACATTGATTCAAGACCTGCGTTGGAACTTGTATGTTGTAGCCTACGTTAATTGCAAGAAATACCACCAATAAATAAACTTTTTCTCTCCCTCTCTGCTACGTGACCGTCCCTACAAATGCCGCATCACAATTTTTGGTTTTCCCCATCGCGTTCGAAACCCTCTCGTTCCAATAAAGCCGCCTCCCCACTCGTCATAAACTGTCTCGGCCACCGCTCCCGTCTATCTCGTGTAATCCCCAGCCATTCAACCGTCCCCTCCTTGTGAGGGTACAGCACGGATATCATTTCCACCGACCGGGGCCACGGTTTCAAAGGCTCACGGCGCTCTTAGTAGTGGCGAAGAACGGGTGACAATTGCGAACTGGGACCGTCATTGCTCATGCATTTATTCATTGGTTAAGAGAGAGTGTGAGAGGAATGGTGACGAGTGACGTCGAGCAGCCGGCAACATCAATCGCCGAAGAATGATGTCTGTGATTGGATTTCAGTCTGGGATTGCTCGAATGTCCGCTGGCGGAGGTTAACCCCAGAGGTTGACCCGCGGTTGTCGTTCATTCCATGGGGTGAGGGTACTTGACCTTTGGCGCGCGCATTGCAGGTGCGGTGGGTGCACTCTCGATATTACAATTTATGTGCGGTTTGAACGTAGATTGTCTCATCGCTTTCGTCATTACTCGAGTGCATTGCCCATGCCTTTGCCTCCGCAAACAGAAAGTCTAGAATAGGGGGATCTGGTGTCTATAGGTTTACGAATATGTATAAACTATAAATTATTCATAATGCAAATGTAAATCAGACCTTTTTATAGACGTGATAACCTCCAAGAGTACCTAAATAATTCAGAACACAAACTGCAAGTTGAATGCCAGTCTACTTCTTCCTAATTGTCAATAATTATCCAGGTTTTGTTGATCTGTTTTGTTGATTTATTCCAGGGTCATATATTACGGCATATATCGACAAAGTTTAGAAATACGAGGCAGCCGAGCTATGGCCGCTTTCATCCGTCATTTCAGCTTCTGCATCCTGCATCTGCGCCTCGACTGTGCCAATTCGACTTTCGAACACCTCCACCGCCTCGGGAGCCCAGTCGACACCCCAACAATCGCTCAATGCTGCATCAGCATGCAAATGAACGGGACGAGGCGCGACAGCCAAACAGTTCCAGCGCGGCCTTCTCTCGACCCCGTCGGAGCTGCGCAGGGCGACCGCAGCGCCCCTGGCGGCCGGGTGCGGAGTTACGCCGCCGAAGCTGCGCCTGCTCTCGGCGAGGTGCTCAGTCGGCCAGCGACGGCTCGACGTGTTGTAAGAAGCGAGGAGTGTCTGAGAGTGCTGCGTGGGCAATTATCGTAGCATATCGGATCTGAGTGCCATAGCAAGAGCAGTTCTTCTCTGGAAAACGCACAAGGTGAGTTGACGCTGATCGAAAAGCGTCCGTCATAAATGGGTGTCTCGTGCGTGTAAGTTCTTGCGTGTTTTGGAAGGAGACCAGTGGTGATCTTGGCTACGAGTCAGGATGGAACTGTCCAAAATTAATCGAGCTGTCTGATCTAACTATTTTGGAAGTGTGTCAACTATCAACCAACTGTTTTTGACGTCATCAAAGTGTCGAACCGCGGAAGGGATACGCCCCTTCCCCCTTCTTGAGCTATAAATGTTGGGAATGTTTCTTTGCGGGGTACTGGGATTCATTAGACTATCCATGCATAAATGAAAAAGCATGTTTGCAGTCTGCAGACACAAGTTAGCTGTGAATCCGTATGTACTTCGGGTTCGGCGATATACAGCGGCCGGGCTGGTCAGGTATTTGCTACCTTTTATTTAAACGTTCCGTACGTATTTAAGTGCGACAACACTTTAATTTAGCATGGCAGCTCATGCCTTAGCTCGATGTCTATAGCTAAAGGCATGATGGTTTACTTACTCCCTAGCTAATATTTTGTCGTTATTTCATTCCACTACTGTCACAGCCAATTGTCGTCGATCTTGCTAATAAAGAGCCGACGACATATTTCCTCTATCACCGATGCAACTAGCTCTCGACATTACAACCGTCCTCATGGATGATGCACAACTCAGCCCACACGCAGTGGGGGGGGGGGGGCTTGGGAGGGTGGGGGGCGGGGCGTTGTGCCAAGCCCCACTTGGTCTCCCGAGTGCGTCTCCAGAGATAAGGAACACTGGCACCGTGTTTCAATTCGGTTCAGCTGGGACCTGGGCACCGCGCCAGACACTTCGCAGCCACTAGCGAAACGTCAACTTGCTGGCACTGGTATGGGAAGTCGGGAGATGTTACGATAAGCCGGCCTGGCATGAAGTGACGTGCATTGCGGTATCTTCAAAGGATCTTTATTTATTAGGCATTGTAGTTACTGGTTTGACATTTATTATAGGCGCTCATTAGATCTAGGAAGAGCTTTCAGCCTCTATACGATGCATAAGTTTTGCACATTTTACTTCGTCTGAGGGCTGAAGCTTCCGTGCATCGGCTTCAGCTTGGCTGAGTGTGTAAACGTAACCAATTCCGTAAGTCTAGTCAGACTTATTGACATGACCCAAGTGTTCGGTGGTCATCGGTATTCAATCGGCGGTTACCGATAAGTGCTCGGCTATTTACCGAGGGAGCCTCGTGTCTTGGAAGGTACATACGCGGTTATTCACCCGGATAGTTTTGAGTTGTTCCCTGAAGCCGAACGCTATTTACAGACTGCCTTATACTTAAAAACTTTTAATAACTATGCGTCTTCCAGTCCCAGAAATATTGTCGGTCTCACCTATCTGTATTGCACATTGCACAATGCACATGGAGCACATACTCTGACTCCTTTGGTCTCTATAAAGAAGACAAGACTGATAAATGTCAACCGGTATTGGTGTCTTCTGTCAATAAGCCTTGGCAATATCCAGCCAGGCAATATTGTGTCGGCGAGACAGCGAGATCATTAGGTACTGACCTGTCGACCCAGCTATAAGACTGGTTTATCCTGACCCAGAGTTATCTAGCGAGACAGAGGCAGTTTCACTTGGCATAATTCTCCATGTAAATGAATACGTGTGAGTGTTGTGGGGAGAAGTGTGCGGTTGCGTCGCGGGGTGGGTGGTGTGAGCACATGACACTGACACCACACCCTGCGGAGGGGACATGACACCGACAGCTACACTGACACTGACAATGACACGCCTCCCTCCGAGTCATCAAAAACAAACATTGCTCGCCTCCGACCGGGTCCCGTCACGTCACAGCGCCCCTGTCACGGTACGGCGTCACGTGATGACCGTGTGCCGTGACGATGGTGGCACCGTGTGACCGACTCGGCTCCCGGCGTGGGCGTCACTGTCACCACCGTGACGGTCTAGAGGGTGTCACGGCAGTCATCGTGACGTCGTGAGGGCCATGATGGGCGCCTGTGCCCGCCGAGTCGCCATGCTGTCAGGGTCTTCTCCCGCCGAACTGTTTTTCCTGGAACGGCGGGCGAGAGATGTCTTGGTGATTTTCTCTGAAGTTTCCTGAGCATGCAAGATAGAGCTGCGATGATCAGAGCGGCTTAGTGGGACACGGTGTTTCGGTTGGAAACATTTGGCACGCGTCTATCGGTTCGATGACAGGGACAGTTACGGGAAACAGATGTGAGACAATCGTACGGACGGATAGATAAAACGGACCGTACGACTGACGGACCATAAGTACGGCTAACGGAAGGACGGACGAACGGACGGACGGACGGAAAGACGAAAGGTCCGTGCGGTGGACGGACCGTACGACGGACCCTACGACGACCCGGTCCCGGCGGGCGGGTCCGTCAGGCGAAGGGAAACGCCGCGTGCTGAAACCCGTACAGTGTCCCTGGCAGCGGCAGCGACAGATCAAGAGGCTCAGCAGGGTTCCGCTTGCCGCGGCCGCTGTCATTCGCTGTTTATTTTCCTGTCGAGTGTCACTGCGCTGGCGGGATCCTAAGAGAGGACAGGTTTTGAATTCTCGATCCGTTGTATGCCTTTTGAAGGCGACATGATAAGATTGTAGAGCAAACTCGTCCTTTTTGGATTGTCAGGCGTCGAAACTGAGAGCTGAAATAGGAACAGACACTAGCCGTCCCTCTCATTTAGCTTTGACTTAGCTTCAGTAAAAAGAGATCGCCTGCTACAGCAACTCATCCTCTCTACGATTAAAGCTCAATCCGATTCTCTCGCTCCTTTACTCCACAATCACCGTTTCTGGTCCGTTCAGAGACACAAAGAACCAAAGCAATCAGCGGAGTAGTAGCTAGCGCCGGCACAATTCGATGACCGCTGGCCGCCGATCAGAATCCCAGGCGGGTATCTGGAGCTGACGCGAGTGGCATTAGTCCCGGCCCGTTTTGGGTCGGATTTCGCCAGGTTCCAGCGTGGCCATTCCCGAACTCATTTATCTGCGGCTTCTGATAAGTTTAGTAATTTATCACTGACGACGCAGGGGCGGACGGGGAGCGCCCTCCGGTCAGTCAGTGACGTCAGAGAGCGAGACGCGCAGACGCCGGGTTGTGTCTGGGCGGCTCCCGGTCGAGTGGAATGGCTCGTTTGGAACAGCTTCTTTGGAACATTCCCTGTGGAATGATGGAATGGCTCCTGTAGAATCGGCGACGAGTGGAACGGCTCCAGTGGAACGGCTCTGTCAGATCTGCACCTATTGAAAGCGCAAATATTCCTGAAGAATAGTCTGTCGACTTTTGTGGAACGTCTGAGCGGCTCCGGTAAAGCGGCCCTTGCAGTGTATAACTTTGCTCCGTGGCGGAGATGCTTGCAAACCTGAAGTGCTCCCGTGAAACCACGAAGCAAATCGTGCAGAGCGGCGAACCGGCTTCCAGGTTCCATGGAGCAGCGGAGTGGTTCCTGCGCACGGCAGAGTAGCTCCCTCGAAACGACCAAGCGGGTTCCGCATAGCCGTCAGAGTGGCTCCCTCAACTCCGCTGCCTCGCTGGTTCCGGTTGGTTTCGCGCGTCGGCGCTGGAGCGGCACATAACATGTCACTCTTGGAGGCGACGTTATGGCTCGATGCGCGGTTTCTGTTTTCGTGGCCGACCTGGCCTGTCCCATTTTAGTGGTTGACAATCTCTCCAACGGGGAGGACCGAAACAAACTATTTTGTAGGCCGCCAGTCACGTTTGAACTTCAAAAGCGTGAGCCTAAAAGATGGCTTCTGTCCTTTGGGTCTTGGGAGTTTCCTGTCCTTAAATCATGGACTGTTAGGGTAGCCCATTCATCAATCATAATCTTAATGAATTTACAGCAGCATTTTGTTTACTTGCTGGCTGAATGCTATCAACGTCATGAATTGTGGATATCCATGTAGCTGGATCATGTTGATTAGCTTTAATTAAATACGACACATTCCTTGGGCCTTAAAGGTAGTGTGCCAGCTTTCTTGGACCGTATGGAGTTAATGGCCCAGATAAGGAGAACCGGATTTTTAGAACTTATCCATTCCTTCAAAACTCATGGAAACGTCTTAAATTCTTCAAATTTTGAGTACCCCAGTGCGAAATTCGCCCCGACGGGTTGTCGGTCGTACCCCAACCACATTTCACACCACTATGAACAATAAATGCACACACTGAAATCGCTATTACCGATATGCTCATCCAATCAAGTTTCGATAAACCCGTTCATCATCATCTCCTGCGGTTTCGAACACGCCTGTTAGGTGGCTTCTGATGCTCGTCGAGGTCGGAATTTCCAAATACGCGTGGTGCGTCGGGCCGCGCGCTCTGACTTCGGCCAAGAAAAATGCGTCAGCTGATCATTGTCATTTCTGCCACTTGCGTGTGGTGAAATGGGGTCATAACTTATAAGACGGCTTTTTCATATCAATTATTTTACATAAAATCATATTTCAAACCATAAATAATGTTCGACAGCCAAATAAAAGAAACAATACCAATACGGGCTTACAGTTTAAGGCTCGACATTGTGTTGTCTACGATTAGACAGCTGATAACTCATTCCCGTACGTCGTATGGTCGTAACACTATAATGACCTTTGCTTATTGTCACAAGTGCGCCGCATTCGCGATTGTTGCCCGACGCCTGTTTGCAGGTGAGCCCACTACAGTTGTTATACATATCTAAAAACCGAAAAACTTTTAGGCGAAAAAGGCACTATTCCAGGCCCATTTTTGATTTTTTTTGCGATATTAGGTAAAAACAGAAGCTTCTTATCCTAGGAAAAATAAAATGGGAAATCTTTCAAAGGTGGCACACTACCTTTAAAAGTCAATGTTTCCGATTCCCCGCACGCGACTAAGATAGCCATTTTTGGATACACCCCGTACGAAGCCCCTCCGCCGCGTGTCTTCGCCCGTCGCCGGAACTGCCGAGCAGCTGTTCTGCCCTACGGACAGCCTCCCTACCGTGCCGGACTCGGTGCTGGGGCTA